TTCTGGATTCGTCAGTACTCACACCTTTGTCTTTCTAACATTATCTCACTGAATTATACTTCTTGAATAATATTTTCAAACCCTAGTCTTCTTCATTACCATTAATACCTCTACTATCTCTATCACAATTGGATTTGATTTGACATTTGCATCTCTGTGCTAATGTAGTGGTATGGCAACCTGAACTGATGTACATACGTACGAAGTTATACGTTGCAACTGACTGACTGACCAGATAGCCTACATATACCAACATGACTCAGTACACTTGTCAGTGACTTCATGGATTTGTGCCATGTTTTGGTCTGGCCGCCCCTAACTTTCTTTCAATCTACTCCTCCTACACCACAAAAAAAACTATTCACTTGTAGTGAACGAGAACACAGGTGGGGCAACGGAATTGTATTTACGAAAATTACAGAGTTACTCAGTAAAATCGGAAAACCATATCGTAAACGGCTAATTCGCAAATCTTCAATCCATCATTAATCCATTGTCTGACATTTCACTATTCATGCATTTCATACAAATTCCATTGTGTGTTCTAACTCTTCCTTTCTTGATCTTCCCCCCATCTTCTGCCTGCCAGACATTACGTTGACACTCACGTCATATACTACTTATAAGTAGCTCGCACCACACACTAACTAATTCACATATTTATGTATTGTTTTTTTTCATTGAATTTTTTTAGTTTAGTCGGTTATCCACCATTTACAAAACAACGTGATGATTATGATTTAGAAACACAAATTATTCAAGGTTTATATGATTTTCCTCAAACATTTTGGCATGAAATAAGTCAACAAGCTATCAATCTTATTAAACGTATGCTTATTGTTAATCCAATGCATAGAAGTTCAATTCATGTAAGTTTGTGTTCGTTGTAATGGCTTGCTTGCATAAATAATTCCCGAGCTAAATCCTATTGCTCTTAGTATTCTCTGTCCACAAACAATACACACTGGACAAGTTTCCCAAGAATCAAAAAACACGATTGAACAGGAGAAAAAGATTATATTCCAAAAATAGTAAGGTTAAATGGAAATAAGAAGCCAAAAGTGATGGCGAAGAAGGTGAAAGCCCAAAAATAGATACAACGTTAGTTACATGAGAAGCTTCTGCATAGAAATTCACATGATCGATTGGATTAGATTTAGCCAATCAACATGCAGCTAACAATACGAGAATTTTCTACTCTGTTCTCCAAGAATCGATCAGGCGCTGGCTGATTGGATAGGAAATTAACCAATCAGCGCGCAGATGACGCAGTCATGCTTTATTCCATTGATGTCTCCCCTAACAGTTTGTTTTTCACAAATGCACTTTGGTATTGATGTATTCTGTATACACAGATTGCTTCGATACTCATGTTCATCTCATTTGTACAAACTAGTGACTGTTTGTAAGTGGATAGATAATGTAATGTGATGACGTTTGAAAAAAAACAACACATTAAGTTTGAGTCCCGGAGTGTTGTAGCTAGTATAGCCAACTGACGAGTCCCAAATAGGATGATGTCTATGATGACATTGTAAACCGTTGCTAGCGTTGGGGTAGTTGAAAACATGCTATTATCAGTGTGCAGGAGGTTTGCTCGACTGCTTAGACTGATAGTTCGTGTGTATGCACGTGTTGTCATATCAACGATTTACTTAGTAGGTTGCAAGATGTTTGAGTTACGAGCAGCTAATCAGTACGTCCGAAGTATCTGTCACACGATATCTTAATAGCGCCAAAGCTATGATGAGTGATTCAGAATACGTTACGTACAATCGATACGAGATTGTGCTGTTTACATTGTTCATCAAGTTTGATATGTTGATTCATTCGTCTCATACATTCAGTTCAAAAGCTTCTCTGTCGACTTAGCTCTTCAGGTTGCATTGTGTTTGACTTCGGTTATTCTCGGACCATCACGTCGTCGGGTTCACCATTTTAATGACTCACAACTTGATACCAGTTTGATGAATGATTAAGCCTAACTCCGTTTGCGTGACAGTCAATGGTAAGTAAATGCCACAAGTATAGATGCACATATAAGCTGAACAATGATAAAACTACAAAATATTATATGTAAGGTGCTACATCCTGAATTATATATTATCAGCCCGTATATTCACCTCTGTTCGGAATATTATCATTATTATTGATTTGAACTATAATAAATCAATAAAAATCATAGAATTATGTAATGAGTTGTAGTAATATTATTGTTTACTTAAATATGAGTTGTTTTGACTCATTATTTGTTTGAAACCAATTTTCACTATAGAGTTTTAAAGATTGTTGTTTTTGACTGAAATCATGAATCGATCATGGTGAGGTCACTAGCATTAGAAACCTGGAATCACTGGATGGCCGTTTCGTCCTAGAATGGGATTCGTCAGTCGCAGTGCTCATCAACGCATTGGCGCGCGAGAATGAAAGTTCTGGGTTTGGTTCTTACGAGTGGGAGTCGCGGATGCGCACTACGGGGTGACTAATTCGGTCTCATGTGTTGTTACGGGTATGAGGGCGGTTGTCACTTCCCGGCTGCCCACACCGTGGAAGGTTGTTTCTTGAGGGATCTGAAAAGGAAGATAGATTAGTGTTGGTCTTAGAGACCTGGGAGCGTGACCGCAGAGCCCAAGGGACAACTGCTTGAGGCCGGTCACGCACGGCCTTTTGATTAAAGGTTTTTTGAGTATTAGCTCCGCTCTTAAAAGCCTTTAGTGGGCACCGTTACCGCCAGATAGGGAAGTCCGTGAGGTAGAGTGAAGTGTGACATTCTTAGGGTCGACCTTTTCTAACCCTTTCTTCCTTGTGAGAAGGCAGCATCGCTGCAGATGCTGGTTGTCCGAGGAAAACACCTTATTGCCGTCACACCCCTCCATCACAGTCAGCAGTACGACTTCGCCCTCAGACCTTGGGTGCGGATGCGTACTGCCACTTAAGAGTCCCGTACACTAGGATGAAACGGCCATCCAGTGATTCCAGGTTTCTTATGATGATGACCTAACATAGATCGATTCATGATTACGAATTTAAACTTGTTGACATATTTACCGACATTTTCTGAATGACATTAAATCTGCCAACCGTATACAACATAGAATATAACTCATGTAAACCCACCACACAATTATATCAATACAATAAAATATGTTAATTGTCAGAATAAATCCCAGACTAGTAGTAGTGTAGTGAGGGAGAACATAAGTGAGGGCGACCGAATTGCATTTATCAAAAATTACTGAGTAACTCAGTAAAATCGGAAAACCATATCGTAAACGGTTAATTTGCAGATCTTCAATCCATCGTCGTGACAGTTCACTATTCATGCGTTTCATACAAATTCCATTATGTTCCCCCCACTCTTCGTTTCCTGATCTAACCCCATCTTCTGCTGCCAGACATTACGTTTACACTCGCGTTATATACTACTTATAAGTAGCGCGCACCACACTCGTCCCCCCTTTTAATAAGTTGTCGTCGTAGTCTTTCTGATTGCCGTACCGTTTTCATCTTTGGTGCTTTTCATGACCCATACACTTGATAATCTTGAAACCATCTCTGCAGTTGACTAGCATTTATGCGCTTCTGCTTGTCTTCTCTCCGAATCATGTACACCGCGCCGCGTCTCTCCGTGATAACGTACGGTCCTTCACACTTTAAGAACAGAAAAGTCAACGGTAACGCTTTCTCCCAATCTCCTCCTTTAGATGCTATATCTTTAACGTCCGGCTGTTTTCTCTCTGTAAGCCCGTTTTTACGGTGTAGTTCGTTTTCACTTGATGCCAAACTGCTTTAGACGGGATTCAAACTGTTCACTTTCAAAACAGGGACCCTGGCCAGTTAATACCACCTTCCGTATTCCGTGACACGCTACAATATGCCGGATTACCACTTCGGTCCTTGTTCTTGCCCGCTGGTCTGCGATGGATACGGCATCTATCCAACGTGCAGCGTTTACTAGTTCCCGCTGCTGGGACACGGCGGCCGGCACATTCTCGAAAAATTTTGACGCCAACAACTGTGCCTCCGATTCCTCATCGATATTCGGCAGCGCACGGCGCAGCAACATTGTGAGCTCCACAGCCAGAACCAGTGGGTCACAATCGAAAGACAACCTTGCCAACTGGAACCTCTGCGGCGCCTCCTCCCTGTGCACTGGGCCGACGAACTCCGTCACTATTCGCTCCGTGACCGTCCCCCACGAAGCCTTTTCGGCAGCACCGTCCAAGCTGTCGTAGACAGCCTTTGCCTCACCTACCCGCAGCGTCCCCAGCACCACCAACTCCGCCCCGGGCCCCTTCACACCCACCAGCCCCACCACGGCCTCAAACTCCTTCGGCCACGGGAGCTCCTTCCTTCGTGCAGGCAGCGACACCAAATGTAGTGAAGGAGAACACAGGTGAGGGCAACCGAATTGTATTTATCGCAAATTACAGAGTTACTCAGTAAAATAGGAAAACCATATCGTAAACGGTTAATTTGCAAATCTTCAATCCATTGTCTGACATTTCACTCACTATTCATGCGTTTCATACAAATTCCATTGTGTTCCCACTCTTCCTTTCTTGATCTTCTCCCATCTTCTGCTGCCAGACATTACGTTTACACTCGCGTCATATACTACTTATCAGTAGCGCGCACCACAACACAAATTATTGAATTGATATGTGTGTGTTGGGACTCCTGTCCTGAAACCGAAACTGATACAAGTGGTTCTATCTCAGAGGCTCACACTCCCTGCACCTTTGACTATGGGAGTATAGTCTACAAAGTAGTGAGGCGATCGATTGGGAAGATGTAGTCACATAGTAGCCGATGACTAACAATAGGTTCATGCACAATTTGTTCCGTGATAATTGTAGAGTCAATGTGCACCACCACCCACTAATCCGGTTTAAGCACCGGTCAAACATTCTCTTTTCATCTACTCAATTTCGTAGACAACACTTGTATCATAAAAAGTCAGTGAACAAGACTTCAATAGAAGTAGCTATACATTCATGACCATAGGAGAGGAGTGTATATCAAGCGAGTGAACGAACCGTCTTCACTGTCGACCGTATCAAGACATTCGGAGACGTTCATCTACCAACAGTCAATGAGTAGAATGTCGCGACGAGCTATGTTTTGTGGTGTAGGAGGGTGTAGATTGGAAGAAAGCTAGGGACGGCCAAACCAAATCATGGCACAAATCCATGAAGTTACAGACAACTGAACTGAGTCATGTTGGTAGATGTAGGCTACCTAGTTGGGGTCCGCGAGATGATAGCAATCGGTGGTTAGAGACCCTGAATGACATGGCTCAAAACCGTTTGCAATGGCGCAGGTGCATTCACTCTTTGTGTTCTATGAAATTCTAACTTTCTGCATTCCTCATAATCTCTACCTTTCTCTTTCGTCAGTTATCTGACTGAATTATACTTTTTGAATCATATCTTCGAACCCTAATCTTCTCTAGTACTGCTAATACTTCTGATATCGCTATCACTCTTGGATTTCAATTGACAGTTGCGTCTCTGCTGATGTGGTATGGCAACCTGTACTTATGTACTTATGTACGAAGTTCTGTGTTGTATCTA